ATAATATATATAAATATAGCAAATCTTCAAATAGTCGACAACACAAGATTCATACTATTTTTGCTAATTAAATTTCAGCAACAAATTGAGAATTTAAGAAATTCAATTTTGAAAATTTCCAATGAGGCTTTCCAGTTTATTTCTCCTTTGTTTCAACTTGTCAAAGCTTTCAATACAATTTTTATTTTATTTTATTTATTTATTTATTTTTCCATAATATATACTAAAGATGGCCTTGACGCTACACCATGGAATGTGTTTAAATAATCAATTTCATACTCATATTTCCTATTTATATGCAATTAAATTTTCTCTATATGTTTCAACAATTGGTCACTATGTTTTTGTTATCAAAATACGTATACATTTCTCTGAGTGTGCAAGAGACAGAGAGAGAGAGCGAGATATAGAGAGAGTGAGGATGATGGTTGATGTGCGCTCTATATGATAATGATGAGAGACACGCCCACATGTGTGGTATGCCACTTACCGTTATCTGCTTAATGAAACTGCTGCTCGGCAGCATTGTTGTTGTTGTTGCTGGCGTGGTGATTGGCTCGGTTGTCGTTGTTGTTGTTGGAATTGTTGTTGTCGCATCACCTGCTGCTACTGCTGCTGCTGCTGTCGTCATAGTCGACTGTTTGTCTCCAGCAGCTGCTGCCGTTGTCAGCATATCATTTGCTGCAACGCCTTGGCCTGAGGCAACGCCTGCTGCTGCTGCTGCTGTCGCCGCTGCTGCGAGTGCAACTGCAGCAGTGGCTGCTGTAGTTGACATTGTGGCTGCTGTGGGCGTTGCCGTTGCTGGCAGCACGTATCCATATCCGGCACTCGCCTCCTCATCGCTCACCGTTATCGCATCTAGAATATACGAACGTGTGATGGCCGTTATATCATTAAGGGAATCTGCTGCTGCTGTTGCTGCTGTTGCTGTTGCTGTTGCTGTTGCTGTCGCTGCTGTTGCTGTTGCTGCTGCTGTCGACGTTGCTGCTGTCGGCGTCGTTGGCACTTCCGTTGGCAGATCGATGCGCTCAATTTCCGTTCGCCAGCCGCGACGATTATGCAAATAGATTTGCTTCTGATTGTAAAACCAATTAATGAAAAGTGGCGGCTCCAGCGCTTGGCTAATTATGCAGCGCAGTTTCACTTGACTTCCGGCCTTCACGTGGCGCGTAGACTCGCCAATTAATTCGGTTTTAGGTTCTGCGGAAACACGGATAGAGACAGGGCGAGACACACATTTAGAGAGTCGCTTACAATCTGGGCCAAATCAGTGCAGCAGCCACTGATTTATTGGCCTGCTCTGTGATTTATGTTTCGGCTTGAATTTTGGCTTTTGGGGTGTGGCATGCGTTGCACTACGCTATGGTTTTCATTGATTGGGTCCGTAATAACAGGCATCGAATGGGCAATTCGGGGAAAAACTTGCAATCAAGATTATCACAGCTGGCAAAAATAAAACGTTGCGAATAATAAAAAAAATTAAATAAATATGTAGGAAAAATGTAAATGAAAATATGAAAATGTAAAAAAAATAAAATAGAAATAATAATATCAATACATTACAAAATTCAAATTATTTAGTAACAGAGTCGAATTTTAAAGCAATTGATTGAAATTTTTAAAAATATATTTTTATAAAATAATAATG